TAGGGTTTATATATCTGTGGAATGTCCAGGGTGAGAGAAAGAATTCTTGCCTGTCTGAGGTAGGTGTGAATGAAGCAATTGTCCACCTTGATTAGCATTTAATGGCCTAGCAGTTTTCAAGGTCTGGCTTCTTACTGCTGGGGGAATCCTTTGTTGGGAGGTATTAGTTGACCCTGATTGTTTTCAGACATCACATTACAAAATTAAAAGCCAGAAGAAGAAATATATATCCACAAAACACGAAACTCATAAAACATCTCATTCCACTTAGAAAAAATGCAAACCCTTTATGTTTATTGAGAATTAATTTTGCAATGATAACCAAACATACATTTATTCCAATGTAAAACTGAAGATACACTTTAGTTTTGCACTCTCCGGGTTTGGTATAATAACTTTAAAAAATCTGGTAATTTGCCCAATCAGAAATGACCTGATACATTCTCCTTTCAGAGTAGTATTACTGAATCTATGTTTTCCCTGACATAAGTGGAAGCAGCTCAGAAGAAGTTGGGCGCAAACAATATTAACAAGATGTGAAATAAGTGTTTACTTTATTATTTTGTAACGGGCAGCCTACAAATCTTTAAATTTAGAAGCCCAACAAAACTGACCAGGGTTCCTCCAAAACAACAACAACTTTGCAGAACTAGAAACTAACAAGGAGGGGAAAGAATGTTTCTAAACGTAAAGGAGTAGTTTCAAACTTGTTTAGGATGAAACAGTTTACATTTTATTTATTTACTCCATTTGTATACCGCATTTATCAGCCTGAGGCGGCGACTCAATTTTATATATTACAGGGCAAAGAATGTATCTTTTGTTCATTATCAGTAAATAGTGGGATAATGTAATTTTATATTGTTGTTATGTGCCTTCCAGGACAAACTTCTCATGGGGATTGGAGGACTTATTCAAGGCCACTCAGTGAGTTTCTATGGCTGAGCAAGTATTCGAACCCCGGTCTCCAAAGTCATTGTCCAATATTCAAACAACATGGTTCCAAAAACTAATTTTGTCTTGTACTTCACAGCAAATAATATGCACATTCCCCCCCCCCCCCCCGCAAAAAGGAAATCATAAAGGAGAATTTCATTTTCTAAAAGCAGTATTGTAAAAAAAACAACAACAACAACCCAAAACTACCAATATTTCCATCACCACAACTATTTCTCCCTAGGAAAGAATTCTCTCTAACCAAACAACACTTCACTATTGGTCACTAAGGATGAGTACAAGATTCCAAACCAATGTTTTCTAAAACAAATGTGCCTGTTTTGAGGACAAGGCACTTCCTACGCTCAAGAACTGCAGACTATTAACCAGTGAGAACTAAAAGCAAGCAAGCACCGGAAATATTAAAAGAAAATACAGTTCCAATGTCTTGTAGGCACTTTGGAAAGTTGGAAAAAAGGCAGGGGAAAAAAGTGTGAAGATGGCACATAACAGAATATGTAATATAATGCAGAAACTGACTACAGGTGGCCCTCATTATCCATAGATTCACCAACTATTTTAAGAGAAGGTTTTAAATATTTCTACAAGTCGAATGCCCTTTTAATAGTTAGCTTTTGTCTGTTTTTAATTGTATTGCCTCTTGAGTGTGAGATGCTTTGGGTCTCAATTCAGAGAGAACAGCACCTTGCAAGGTGAAAAGGATAAAAATATAAGTAAAATAATAAGCATGACAGATATGCAAAGCTGGTTAGGGAAGCCAAGTTTGAATGAGAAAGCTAATGATAAAGGTCTGCAGCTGTGCCAAGAGAGGTGTTTAAAAAAGGGGAGACACAAGGGGTGGGGAGTTTTTTACACTAAAAGAGCATATATTCTTCCAAGAAGGTATTTGCTAAGCAGCGGTTAAGAATTAAGAGTCCTTTCTCCAAATATTCCCAAATATCCAAGTTAAGGAGGAAGGAGGCTGAGGAGGGCCACACATAAAGGAGGGATATCTTATAGGGCCCCGACATCAAGGCATTCCTGAAGCAGTAAGGAAAATATAACACTCCCACAAAAGTGAGCTATACTAAAGGGTCCTTGCACATCTCGAACCACTAAAGCAACCACAGTAGTCCCATAAATTTGAAGTATCCTATAAGGTACCTGAATAGGAGAAATATTGAACAACTAAAGAAAATTCGGTACCTATATGTGTGTGTGTATACACATACAGACACTGCATGTATATACCGTTTTTTCCCTCAAAAACAGGAACTCAAAGCAGTTTTCAACATTATAAAGGCAAAATTCAATGCCATACATACATGTGAAAACCAAAAGATAATAAGACAATAACATATAACTATAAATTAACCTAACCAAATTAAAACATAAAATAACATTTAGACATAAAACCTAAAATATTAAACACTGATAATACAATAACACAAAGGTAGGCTATCTAGGGGGGGGGGGGGCTCCTGCATAGGAGTAATCCTGAACACTAAAGCAAATAGAGTGTCCACATAAAGGTTGGGTATCCCATAAGGTCCCAGCATAGATGCAACCCTGAACCATTAAAGAAAAGTACAGTAGTCCCATAAAGGTGCAAATACCCCAAATAGCCCCAGTACAGGAGCAAAGTTTTGTACTCCTATAAAGTTGGGTCCTTGCACAGGAGGAATCCTGAACCCATAAAGCAAGGATAACATTCCCATCAAGGTGGGGTGTCCTAAATAAGGCCCCTTTACAGGTGCAATTCTGAATGAGTAAGAAAAGTAGAGTGCACCCGCATAGGAGCAAACCTGACCCACCAAAAGCAAGTATAATACTCACATAAAGGTGAGATACTTTAAAGGGCCCTTACCTAGGAGCTACTCTGAATCACTAAAGCAAGTACAGTACTTGTATAAAGATGGGCTGCTATAGGTTCCCTGTATAGGAGCAATCCTGAACCACTAAAGCAAGTACAATACTCAACATGAAGATGATATATTACTGCATTTTCATATGTGTGTTTGTAGAAATTTTGTAGTATTTATGTGCTTCTTTTACTGTGCTATGGCCTGCCTTGAGCCATGGGGAGAGGCGGGTAAGAAATAAAATTATGTTGTTGTTGTTGTTGTTATGTACATAACAACACAGCACACATGCACATGAGGTCCAAGTGTCTGAGATTCGTCTCTGAATATCGGACTATTCCCAAAGGCCTAGAATATTAGAGGTATTTTCGTAGTTCTGGGAAGTGTTGCCTTCTGCAGCATGTGGATTGAAGTTCTGTCCAAATTAAGGGTTTTACAGTGCTTTTGGGGGTTTCTTGGAATGCCCCCAAGAAAACCAACTACGACTGGTACCACTGTTTTCTTTTGACATAGTCATCCAATTTCAAGTTGTAACTCCTTGTATTTCATTATCTTTTCCAGCTCTTTGTCCTCGATTCTGTTGTCTCCTGGTACTGATAAAAACATGTTTCTTTTCCACCACTGTCATATCTCATGTGGTATGTGGCAGGTGTTTATCTGCTTGGATTCCGAAATCCCAGAGTATTTTTGCTTCTTCATTTTCCGTAGTTGTCACCTTCTTCTTCTTCTTCTTCTAATTCTTCTTCATTATTATTATTTTTATTATATTTTAAAGGGCCCCTGAATAGGAGCAGCCCTGAACCCCTAAAGCATGCACAGTATTCTTGTAAAAATTGCATATTCTACACTATATCCTATAGGAGGGTCATTCTATAGGGCTCCTGCATAGGAGCAACTCTGGACCCCTAAAGCAAGCACAGTATTCTTGTGAAGATGAGATAGTCTATAGTATATCCCATAGGTGGTCTGTCCTAAAGGGCCCCTGCATAGGAGCAACCCTGGACCCCTAAAGTAAGCACAGTATTATTGTAAAGGTGTGATATTCTATACTATAGGTGGTCTGTCCTATAGGGTCTCTGCAAAGGAGCAACCCTGAACCCTAAAGCTAGTGCAATACTCAACGTGGAAGTGAGACATCTTAAAAATATCCTGCATAGGAGCAACCTGAACCCCTAAAGCAAGCACAGTACTCTTGTAAAGGTGGGATATTTTATACTATATCCTATAGATGGCTTGCCTTATAGGTCCCTGCATAGATGCAAGCCTGCACCCCTAAAGCAAACAGTATTCTTTTAAAAGTGGGATATGTTATATTATATCCTATAGGTGGTTGGTCCTATAGGGTACTTGAATAGGAACAAGCCTGAACCCCTAAAGCAAGTACAGTACTCTTGTAAAAATGAGATATTCTATATTATATCCTATAGGGCTGTCCTATGGGTCCCTGCACAGGAGCAATCCTAGACCCCTAAAGCAAGCACAATATTATTGTAAAAGTGGGATATTCTATACTATAGGAGGGCTGTCCTATAGGATCCCTGCATAGGAGCAACCCTGAACCCCTAAAGAAAGTACAGTATTCTTGTAAAAGTGGGATATTCTATATTATATCCTATAGGTGGTGAGCTGTCCTATAGGGCACCTGCATAGGAGCAACCCTGGGCCCCTAAAACAAGAACAGTATTCCTTTAAAGGTGGATATTATATACTAAATCCTATAGGTAGGTGTCCTATAGGGTCCCTGAATAGGAGCAACCCTGAACCCCTAAAGCAAGTACAATACTCAAGGTGGAAGTGAGCTATCTTCAAGATATCCTGCATAGGAGCAACCCTGAAACCCCTAAAGCAAGTACAGTATTCTTGTAAAAGTGGGATATTCTCTATAGGTGGGCTGTCCTATAGGGTACCTGAATAGGAGCAACCCTGAACCCCTAAAGCAAGTGCAATACTCAAGGTGGAAGTGAGATATCTTCAAGATATCCTGCACAGGAGCAACCCTGAACCCCCAAAGCAAGCACAATATTCTTGTAAAAATGGGATATTCTATATTATATCCTATAGGTGGGCTGTCCTATAGGGTACCTGAATAGGAGCAACCCTGAACCCCCAAAGCAAGTACAATACTCAAGGTGGAAGTGAGATATCTTCAAGATATCTTGCATAAGAGCAACCCTGCACCCCAAAAGCAAGCACATCACTCACCTCTGCCCTCCTCCCACTTGTTGCTTTGACTCTCAGAGCAGAAACTGCAGCAGCAGGAGCAGCATCTCCAGGGGAAGGGAAGCCAAGCCTTGCTCCAGAGGCTCTCCTCCTCCTCCTTTGTGTCCCTCCGAAGCCCAAAGCGGCGTGCTTTGCCGGGGCTTCTCCCTCCAGGGGTGGAGGCCCCTCCCCGGGGCTGGACCGGGCTAAGCAGGCCGCCCCCCGTCCTCAGACCACCCTCCTCCTGCCTGCCTCCCTTCCTCCTCGTCCTCCTCCTGGCATTGGCTGCTTCTTCTTCCTCCTGAGTCCCTGGCTGCAGCTGCACTGTGGGATTAATACAGCTTGGCACCTCTTGACCTGCATTGGCTCAAGGCTATGGAATCATGGGAGCTGTAGTTTAGCAAGGCACCAGCACTCTTGGTCAGAGGAGGCTGGAGACCTTGTGAAACTACAACTCCCACAATCCCATAGCATTGAGCCAGGGCAGTTGAAATGGTATCAAATTGTATTCTTTCTACAGTGTAAATATTCCCACCATCAGGTGTTTTGCATCTTACTTCAAGGCTGGGAAAATAGGGGGAAAGCAACAACAACTACAACAACAACAACAACAAAGGCTCAGGAATAGAATCATAGAATGATAGAGTTGGAAGAGACCTCATGGGCCATCCAGTCCAACCCCCTGCCAAGAAGCAGGAATATTGCATTCAAAAGCACCCCTGACAGATGGCCATCCAGCCTCTGTTTAACTTCCAAAGGAGGAGCCTCCACCACACTCCGGGGCAGAGAGTTCCACTGCTGAACGGCTCTCACAGTCAGGAAGTTCTTCCTCATGTTCAGATGGAATCTCCTTTCTGGTAGATAGACACTGTCAAGGGCACATCTGCACTGACCATGTCATGTAAGATAACCAATTGCAGAAAAAGGGAACCAATAGAATGAGCAGGAACCAGGTTAAGGCTTGAGTGATGCTTAGAGAAACCTAGCGTTGGAAGACACTCCAAGGGCCCAACCCCATTCTGCCATAGGTGAACACAATCAAAACATTCCCAGCAGATAGCCATCCAATCTCTACTTATTTATTTATTTATTTATCGATTCAGAAGCAAATCAAGAATCCAATTATAATGTATTTTTAAAAAACACACAAAGTTAAACACTTGGCATTATATTAAATTTCCTTTGACCAGAAGCTGGCCACTTGGAGTGCCTCTGGTGTTGCTATATTTATTTATTTACTAGCTGTGCCCTGCCACGCGTTGCTGTGGCCTATAGTAAAACTTATCAAAGTAGAGGTAGATATCTGGACTATTATGAAAGAGAGGTACCTACCTATTCCTTCCCCCTTTTCCTCCCCCTTTCTCTCCTTTCTTCCTTCTCTACCTCTTTCTTTCTTTCCTTCTTTCACTACTTGGTTTCATCCTTCTCTCTTTCCTTCATTCCCTCCCCCTTTCTTCCTTTGCCTTTCTTCCCTCCCTGTTTGCTTCCTTCTTTCACTTTTTATTTCCTTTTATTTCACCACCATCATAACAATAACAATAATGCAATGCATTGCCTCTGGGACCTGACACCTCTCCCATTCCCCCAGGGTCTAATAGGAATGATAGCATAATAATAATAGAAATAACAACCTTTACCCGCCACGTGTTGCTGTGGCCAACCTTCCCACTTTCTCTCCTTCTTTCCCTCCTTCCTTCCTTCCTTCCCTCCCATCTTTCCTTCTCCTCTTCCTTCTCTATCTCTTTCCTTCCTTCCCCCTTTTTCTTTCTCTTCTGGTCTCTTTTCTTCCTTCTCTCTTTCCTTCTTTCCTTCCCTCCCTCTTTCTCTGCATCTTCCCCCTTCCTTCACTCCCTCTTTCCTTCCTTCATTCCCTTTTTTCTTTCCTTCTCTCCTTCCTTCCTTCCCCCTTTTTCTTTCCCTCCCTCTGTCTCTCATTTCTTCCTTCTCTACCTCTTTCCTTCCTTCCCCCTTTTTCTTTCTCTTCTGCTGTCTCTCTTTTCTTTCCTTCCATCTTTCCTTTTCTTTTTTTCTTCTTCCTTCTTTCTCTAACTTTCCTTCCTTCCCCCTTTTTCTTTACCTCCCTTTCTCTTTCTTCCTTCTTTCCTTCCTTCCTGTCTTTCCTAGATTTTGACAGGGCGGGAAGGGGCGGGGTGGGGTTTGGAGGTGGCGTGAAGTAAAAGGAGGTAAGATTGGGGCAGGGGAGTGATGGAGCGTGGGGTTGCGTGTGTGTGTGCGGCGGCGGGGGGAGTGATGGAGCGTGGGGTTGCGTGTGTGTGTGCGGGGCGGCGGGGGGAGTGATGGAGCGTGGGGTTGCGTGTGTGTGTGCGGCGGCGGGGATGGGGTTGCGTGTGTGTGTGGGGCGGGGGGGATGTTGGGTGGGGTTGCGTGTGTGTGTGCGGCGGCGGGGGAGTGATGGAGCGTGGGGTTGCGTGTGTGTGTGCGGCGGCGGGGGGAGTGATGGAACGTGGGGTTGTGTGTGTGTGTGCGGCGGCGGGGGGAGTGATGGAGCGTGGGGTTGTGTGTGTGTGTGCGGCGGCGGGGGGAGTGGGGTTGTGTGTGTGTGTGCGGCGGCGGGGAGTGATGGAGCGTGGGGTTGTGTGTGTGCGGTGGGGGGGAGTGATGGAGCGTGGGGTTGCGTGTGTGTGTGCGGTGGCGGGGGAGTGGGGTTGCGTGTGTGTGTGCGGCGGGGGGAGTGATGGAGCGTGGGGTTGCGTGTGTGTGTGCGGCGGGGGGTAGAGCGTGGGGTTGCGTGTGTGTGTGTGGCGGCGGGGGAGTGATGGAGCGTGGGGTTGCGTGTGTGTGTGCGGCGGCGGGGGGAGTGATGGAGCGTGGGGTTGCGTGTGTGTGTGCGGCGGGGGGGGTGGGGTTGCATGTGTGTGCGGCGGCGGGGGGAGTGATGGAGCGTGGGGTTGCGTGTGTGTGTGCGGCGGCGGGGAGTGATGGAGTGTGGGGTTGTGTGTGTGTGTGTGCGGCGGTGGGGGGAGTGGGGTTGCGTGTGTGTGTGCGGCAGCGGGGGAGTGATGGAGCGTGGGGTTGCGTGTGTGTGTGCGGCGGCGGGGGGAGTGATGGAGCGTGGGGTTGTGTGTGTGCGTGCGGCAGGGGGTGTGTGTGCGGGAAGCGGCGTGGCGGGGCTTGGAGTGGGCATGGCTTCCGCAGAGGGAACATTGGCCGGAAGACTGTGTGCGCGCGCCAGGGAACTTGCGGCTGGGCACCAATGCGCATGCTCAGTTGTTTTGCCGTTTTATGTGAGTGTGTTGTTGTGTTGTTTTTCATTTTGAGTAGATATGTTTGTACCTTGTGGGTTGTGTTATGGGCATGGGAATTTTGGTTAAGTTTCGTTGGGGTTTTTTTGAGTTTTGTTGTTTTGCCGTTTTGTGAGTGTGTTGTTGTGTTTCATTTTGAGTAGACATGTTTGTACCTTGTGGGTTGTGTTACGGGCATGGGAATTTTGGTTAAGTTTCGTTGGGGGGGTTGTGAGTTTTGTTGTTTTGCCGTTTTGTGAGTGTGTTGTTGTGTTGTTTTTCATTTTGAGTAGATATGTTTGTACCTTGTGGGTTGTGGTTTTGTGAGTGGTGTTGTTGTGTTGTTTTTCATTTTGAGTAGATATGTTTGTACCTTGTGGGTTGTGTTATGGGCATGGGAATTTGGTTAAGTTTCGTTGGGTTTTTTTGAGTTTTGTTGTTTTGCCGTTTTGTGAGTGTGTTGTTGTGTTGTTTTTCATTTTGAGTAGATATGTTTGTACCTTGTGGGTTGTGTTATGGGCATGGGAATTTTGGTTAAGTTTCGTTGGGTTTTTTGAGTTTTGTTTTGTCGTTTTGTGAGTGTGTTGTTTTTCATTTTGAGTAGATATGTTTGTACCTTGTGGGTTGTGTTATGGGCATGGGAATTTTGGTTAAGTTTCGTTGGGGGTTTTTTGAGTTTTGTTGTTTTGCCGTTTTGTGAGTGTGTTGTTGTGTTGTTTTTCATTTTGAGTAGATATGTTTGTACCTTGTGGGTTGTGTTATGGGCATGGGAATTTTGGTTAAGTTTCGTTGGGGTTTTTTGAGTTTTGTTGTTTTGTCGTTTTGTGAGTGTGTTGTTGTGTTGTTTTTCATTTTGAGTAGATATGTTTGTACCTTGTGGGTTGTGTTATGGGCATGGGAATTTTGGTTAAGTTTCGTTGGGTTTTTTTTAGTTTTGTTGTCTTGCCGTTTTGTGAGTGTGTTGTTGTGTTGTTTTTCATTTTGAGTAGATATGTTTGTACCTTGTGGGTTGTGTTATGGGCATGGGAATTTTTGTTAAGTTTCGTTGGGGGATTTTTGAGTTTTGCTGTCCGGTTGAACCAACCTAACAGATTTATGTATATAGATAGCAGTGGACTCAGGGCGGATTGCAGTGTACACATATATGGCAAAGATTCAATGCCAATTTTTGACATACAAACATATACAGACATACACAGAGGCTATTTAACTTTTTTCTGGCCGCCAGGGGAGCTGTCGCTTCCATCGTCCATCTGCGGCGCTGATGAAGTACTTCCGCATTCCTCGCATGCTTTGCTGGAATGCTTTGCTGGAGTCTTCTTTATGGCCTCATAAATTAGTTAATTTAGCCTCCCCACACTTTAATGTGGTACCTAATTTTCCTACTTGACAGATGCAACTGTCGTTCGGGTTGCAAAGGTCGACAACAGGCTACACACAATTGGTTGGAAACCCACTCCAACCTGGGCTGGCTTAGAACTCATGACCTTTTGGTCAGAGTGATCTTTAATGCAGTTCACACTCAGCCAGTTGTGCCACAATCCCGGTATTTGGGTGTGCTGCAATGCTCCAGTGGGATTCCTTCCCTGGTAATCCTCAGAGCTCGAAATGCTTGTCTGTTCTTAAGGTGAAAAGCACACATCTGCATTGTATTGCCAAAGGCTTTCATGGCTGGAATCACTAGGTTCTTGTAGGTTTTTTTGGGCTATAGGGCCATGTTCTAGAGGCATTTCTCCTGACGTTTCGCCTGCATCTATGGCAAGCATCCTCAGAGGTAGTGTCTGCATTTTAGATGGATTACGAATCAGCTGGTTCCCCCTGTAATAGGTAGTAAGGGCACCTAAAGCTTTGGAGAGCTTCTGTTCAACGATTTCACAGCTCCCTGCTTGGGTGGTGATGGCATGATCGTCAGCATAGATGAAACTCTCTGTCCCTTCTAAACAGTATAATTTCTCCAGTGGTGTAGGGCGTAGACATCCTGTGATAATGCGGCATGTGTCCTTAAGAGCCGCATCCACTGTTTTAACGTGGTGG